CAGCCACCTTTGTCTCTCCAAATACCAAATGTCAATCATGGCTGTTACCCAGGTAGCAGGGATCACACCGTAGTATGCTCACCACTACAGCCACATCTCACAAAAGCTCACACGCACAGGCATGCAAAGAGGCAGAGTTGCCAATGCACGCAAATGTGTGCATGCATAGACAGCTGCGCCGTGTGCGCGTGCCTTGAAGCGCGCATGAGGACATGCGCGTGCGCGGAACGGGATCGCGATAGCGCCGTGCAGATGGCGGGGCCTTGGTCACGGCACTGCCGCTGCCGCTCTACTACTTGGGAGTGCGCCGACTCGGGGTGCTACGCTAAACCCGGTGGCGGGTGCACAAACACAGCTGCTCTTACCTCGCTGCAACAGAGTGAAGGACGAGAGAGAAAGAAAGAAAGAAAAGAGAAAAACGTCTTGGCAAAATTAAACACACGGCCAGGCTCGCTGTACGCAGAGAAACCACTGACAATAAAAATTGAAGATATCAACAACACAAATTTTGTGAATGGAAAATAAGCCACGTTATTTTAAATGTACGGATACTTGCTTGAGGGTATACGTCACACATGTTCCAAGCTTTTATGTTTAACATGAACTTATATTTGCCAAGTAATGTTTTCGGAATTATTTTTTAAAATAATGAGTTTGTATATTACAGACACATTCACTTTAGTTCTGCATCACAAATTAGCAAGTTGGTCGGTGTTTTGTAGCAATGTTAATCATCCAAATAGCTTTGTCGAATAATATGCCATACCCTCTCCACGCTGACGATATCTCACCACGCTGGTCATAGTGGGATGGTGCAGGGCACACCCAGTACCGCTTGAGACGTCACTCGCCACTCACGATGGCCAGCACTACCAGTCAGGCCCCCCGGGTTCACAAGGTGGTGGGTTATCCAGATCATGGATAAATTAAATTGCGGTTGTGAGCGATTCCACCGGGGTATCAACGAATGGTGCGCAAGGTCACGCCAGCCGCGTCACACCTGTGCTATTGTAAGAGACGTTGCAATTATAACAATTATTAGCAATAACATAGTTGGAGTTGGGACAATTAATCCTTTTATTGCACGAATCGACTTAAAATTGTAATCGACTATTTTTCTTGTGTAAAATATCCAGGCCCCTTTAAACACGGTGGCTGACCCTTCATCCGGCCTTCTGGTGCTAGAAATGTCCAAATGATGGGGGCCACTTTGTTGAGCTATCTCATGTGCGGCCAGATCGCTTCTGAAAAATAAGTTAACACCTCAGTGGACTTTGCCTGGTAGGATGGGGATGGTTCTGTGTTGTCTTTGTTTGTGTTTGGGCGATTTGTTTACCTTGCTTGTACTTTGCACTCGTATCATGTTTTTGGATTCTTTGTTGGGGCGGGTAATGTTCTAAGCCGTCTCTACTGGACATCTGTGAAAAAGAGCTTCATAGCCCATCGGATTCCTATATTCTGAACACCCATACAAGCCACGCCCAGCAGATGATGCCTATGACATCACCAAGCCCCACATATCACCTCCCGTCCAGCGGCACATGTGGGTACAGAGGCGAGACGTTTTTTTTTCCCAACTAATATCGTATTATCCGATTAGTCGAGCAACATGAACCATTTAATCAGTGGATAAATCGATGAATTAACCAAACAGCTAGCCCGGTTCTAAACGTAATTATTAAAATTAGAATTGCAATTGTAACTCGTCATGTGGTGCTCTGGCCATGGCACCTTAGTCAGTCAGAATTTTCTGACTTCATATCATACTCCAGACACTGATTCAGGTCTTCAACCCCTCCACGGGTCTATAATTTAACTACACCTTTGTGGGCGGTTAACAATGCTTGTCTTATGGCACGACTGCGGAGAATTCACACGCGGAAAAGGAGCACGCTTTTTTTTGCAAAGCGTGCCCTTAAGCAACGCATAAACAATGTGATGGCTTCAAGACGAGAAAGATTAGAGAGGGGGCCAATGATACAATGGTGAGAAAGAGGAACAGCTTGCAAAGATACCGGCGATGGTTTTTGTGCCGGCTTGGCAGAGACGAATGAAAGTTTTGGTCACAGAATGAGCGAGAGGTGAGAAGGGAGCGAGTCACTCGAACTCATTCCGGTCTGCTGCAGATTTTTTTGTGTGACCGGCCTGCATATTAAATGTGGAACTCTAATGATGCGTATTATCAACGTCGCCGTCGCCGTCGTCGTCGTCGTCGACATACGAGTTGGATTGGGTTGCTTGCTCGTGAAATAAAATCATTAATAAATTAGAGAAAAAGGGCGGGGGGGGGGGGAGGACAAAAAGGAGCCCAGTCGTGTGGCATTGCTAATAGGAAACGGGTAGGCGCCCGCGCTGCGCCAACAACGGCAGGAATGAAACAACCGCGTTAAAAGTTGGCGATTCATGATTCATGCGGTATCGCAGATAAGCAGTCTCGGGTTGCTGGCGTAAGACGACACCGGGCAGGCACGGGTTCCTATCGCTGGCCAGAGATTCCACGGATCGGCTGAGAGATATGCTGATATATAGATATCTATTACGCATCATCTCTCTCGTCGACACACCCACACGAGAGACACAAGCGCCCTTGGCTTGGGCATGATGGGGGCCCTCGCCTGAGGATTTAGTTACAGTTATCGTGGCAGGTGGGCATATGGTAGACACAACACCCCGTGCATTCGCAGGACCGCAGCCTTTACTGCGCAATAATAACAACAATAATAGTTTACACCGACCTTTGTGAATCCACTGTGTCGACAATAAAGGGATGTTTGACCATACTTTGCCACCATAGTCGGTGCGGGCTGGTGAAATGGGTGGAGATCCAGGGTGTGTCAAGATGTCAGGACATTTGACAGGGATTTCCTAGTTGATGCACGAAATCCAAACCAAACACAAGGCAGCCAAACAAACGTGTCTCCCGCCATGTTTACCTTCCTCTGTTGCCTCCTCATTTTGTAAAATGCGAGCGAACCACGGGAAGCTTCGGTGAAGAAGAAAGCAGCGTGCGACATGCGATAATCCCATTGATATTAATGAGCGAGCGTGTGGTGACACTTGAGGCACATGTGGTCGGAGCTTCGTGTGTGATGTCACCAGTGGCGGATCCAGGTGGGGAGGGGGTATGAGGCCACCCCACGCAGGTTCATATTTAGGAGAGAAAATACATTGACATCCCTGGCCCACAAGGCCAATATAAAATGACACAAAAAAACAAAGATCCCCCATATGGCCTCAACAGACTGCTGGGGCAAGTGCTGTTAGCCGGCACCTATGATGCCAGCACGGCACACGGGATTGTGGGGGTGGCCAGCACTACACCCGGTTGCCTTCGTCTCCCTTGGTGGCGATGTGTACGCACCGCACGAGGTACTCATTCAAGGGCGCGTCGACCCAGTGGACCAGTCCCAGGACCGGTTCAGATAATCGTCACCGGTGTTGGTGGCCGTGAGCGTGAATCGGGGTCGCCGGTTTCAGTGAGCGGCGGCACCGCCGCTAACCGCTGCGCCGCCGCTCCCCACGATAGAATGGCAGACACGCACACTCGTGCATATTGATGAGCTCATGGGTGGAGTCCAAATGCTGAAGCCTGGGACTCGACCGCCGTCTCGTGCCGACCCTACCTCTTCCCTCCCCTCCCCCCGCCTCCCCCCCACCACCCTCCCAACAAATGAACGACAGCGCAAACTCATCGAGCGCGCCACATTCATTATTTATTTTCCTCGCACGCACTGCGGACATGATCCCTACAGCCATGGCACATGGTTAATGTGGTTATTCGGTGTGGTGTATCAAGCCGGTTAATGTGGTTAAGATGGCATTTTGGTAAATAAATGTTTTCAAATTCTTAAGCAATTATTCCCCCACCCCAACCGCTGTCACCCCCCCCCCCCACCCCCGATTATTATTGGAGGTTTCTATGCAGAATGGAGGTTTCTATGCAGCGAGCCGCCAGGCATCGCTTCGCGAGAGAGAACCGCTTCGGGTGATCACATGACGCAAATACTTCTGCAGTCGCTTCTAGAGGCCACACCAGGCAGTGCGCACACCAGAGCATAATGCTCTGCAAGGAGTTGCTAGTTGCATGTTAAACGGACATTAACTTTCGAAGCTAGAATAGGAAAGTTAGGATCCCGAATAAAATAGGTGCTAAAATAGGTGCTAATTCCTTTGTCAAGGGGTGCCTCTGCGGATGTGTATACTTTAACTTAGCTATTTCAATGAGCCATTTCAATGCTAAATTATATGCTAATTCCTTTGTCAAGGCGCTTTGTTTCTTCTCACACAGCTTAAAGGTCGTGATCTGAGCTTGGCTTTTTTCACTCCAGACAGTCTCGTCCCTTCACCTGATGAAGGCCGCTTGTGTTGTGGCCGAAACGTCGTGATTTTTGTTATTTTTTTACCTACGTGACTTTACCCAATAGAACCAAAGAGTATAAAATAGGTGTGGCGCTTTCCCCTGAGTACACGAAAGCAGCGTCATCTCATTAGCAGAGACAGAGTAAGCTGTAATTATATTCGGGACAAATTTCTCCACAGACGTGGACTTGACAAAGATTTTACATTCATAGGGCGCTTGCTTAAATGCCACGATAACTCAAAACCGGGGGTGGAATTTGGCACCGGCTCACCGAGTGGATGCCTGCTCCGCCCGTCTGTGGTTTAACGGTCTCCCTCTTCCAGAGCGCGCGAATACCGTGCGGCGCGTTGCAAGGTTAAATTATTAATATTACTCCTGTAACAAAGCGGCTTACATCACATCTCATCTCAGTCATCTCAAAGCCCTGCAGGCGGTCTAGCCGAGGGGGGTCTCTTGGCGGCAGCTGCCCCCGTGCGGCACTGAGCGCGTGTACGCGCAATGCGTGTACACGCAGCGTGTGTGTGTGTGTGTACGCGCAGTGTGCGGTGCGTGTGTGTATGCGCAGCGCGTGCAAGCGTGGCGCCGGCCTGCAAACGGCCCTCGGAGCCTGCCAGCAGAGGGCGAGCGTGGACGGGCGTACCTGACGTAGAGCGAGATGGGCACGACGGTGTTGAGGATGATGATGTACGACCAGAAGGTGAGGAACCCTGAAAAGATGGCGCTGTCCACCGCGCTCTCCCACGGCAGGTACGGCTGGAAGTAGTAGCCAATGGCGCTCTCCCAGATGGTGTTTCCGAGCCCCAGGATGGACCCCATGCACACGAGGAAGCCAAAAATCTGCCCACGGTCAAAGACACACGTCGCCATCATCATTATCACGATCCATGGGCAGATTGCCCGCAGGTGTCCACTGCACATTTCCTCATTTGCTTCCACTTTCCTCCCTGTCTTGTGCCAATATGCTCAAGTCGTGGCCACATCTCTCTGGCACCAATCTCTCACATCGTCGACAAGCCATTCTCTGTTACGTCTTCCTCTCTTTCCGAGCCCCAGGATGGACCCCATGCACACGAGGAAGCCAAAAATCTGCGCACGGTCAAAGACACACGTCGCCATCATCATTATCACGATCCATGGGCAGATTGCCCGCAGGTGTCCACTGCACATTTCCTCATTTGCTTCCACTTTCCTCCCTGTCTTGTGCCAATATGCTCAAGTCGTGGCCACATCTCTCTGGCACCAATCTCTCACATCGTCGACAAGCCATTCTCTGTTACGTCTTCCTCTCTTTCCGGTTTCTTACATTTTTCCGAACAACAACAACACACTTTCAATTGTCCTCTTGTTGTCCATCCTATACGTGTCCAAACAGTGCCAGTTCCCTTCTCATCATGAGCTCCTGCATACCAGGCAAGGTAGTTACGCGTCGCGCGCGTAGCCTCGTACATTGAGCCCTCGCGTGTTGCTAGGCAGGGGGGAGAGACGGGGGCATGGCGGTCAGGGTGCTGCACTACGACCCCAGCGACCCCAGGTTGATTCCCGTCTACGGCTAGCATCGGTGGCGAGTGATATACGAACCGCTACCCGCTGCTTCACCAACTAACCTGCGCTGATAGACGAGGTGAAGTTATGGTCAAATAACTTATATGATCAACACAGTGTGGGGGAGGCCTTCATCCAGCAGTGGATGAACAAAGAGCTGTACATCGATCCATAAAATCACTGCTGGGCAAGGACCCAATAACAACATCACCCACTCCATAGTTTCATCCTTGCTTGCTTATCAGCTGTACTCAGCCATGGCTCTCGGCCCACGTGTCACGCTGACCGCCGCAGGGTCCTCCCCGACCGCGTACGTGGCTTACACTCTGCTGTGTATTGCTTCAGCTTGTGAACCTGTGGTGCTACTTATTTGTATTTCATCGTCATCCATGCACCGCTTAGAACAGCACCGCTTAGAACAGCACCGCATGCTGCAGCTCCACGTGGTTCTTTTTATGTTATCAGGTAAGGGTCCACCAAGCTATGTAGCTCTTTTTCAGACAAGCGACCTGGCTATTACCAATGATAACTCAACGAAGTGGCTTATCGCGAGGAAATTTATAGCAGCCAAATACTCTAAACGCATGTTTCTAAATGTGGAGGGAAAAACCGGAGCACACGGGGAAAAATCCACACGACCACGGGGAGAGAGAAATGCAAACTCCAAATATACAAGTGCCGTCAGGATCGGGATCGAACCCACGACCCTCTGCATACCAGGCGAGGTAGTCAATATCTCCTCGCCACCGTGGCGCCCTGTTGCTCAAGAAGGAGCGGAGTGTGTTGGCGGTGGCGGTCGCCGTAATAAGGAGAAGTAATTAACGGGGATGGGGGGGGGTGAAGGGGCCGGGGGCATGGGAGAGAAAATTGCACGGCTACAGTGCAGCAATTCTCCGGCAGAGTGCCCCCCCTTTGAATGAGACACTCCCAATAAAACGGCATTTAACCACATTGAGCCATAAAAACGAGCTTCTCAATTGAAAGGGAAACATTGAAAGGCACGCACCCTTTTACAATGTGACGCGCACACGTGTAATGGTGTTGAAACGGAATGGTGAAGAAGAGGTTCAGGTTTCCCAGCTTCGACTCGACGCAGAAGAATTGAGAGCGCTACGCCGCGGGCGCTACGACGAAAATAAAAAAAAAACGCTCAAAAACTATAACCGATCGCCGTCGTATTTGGGGCGATGGCAAATTGATGAAAAGACATCGCCGCTCGTTTAAGAAATACAAATGATCACTTGATTACCCGAGACTGGAAATCGGTTACATTATGCATGACCATCTGCCCGATGCACGCGGCACACACACGCGGGCAAACTGCACGTGCATTCACCACGCAGCAGCGCTGGCCTTTGCGAGAGCAGCACGCGGGTTAAGGACATCTTTTCACTGACGTTTGTGGAAAACGCAAAGAAATAAACAAAGGGAAATGTGATTTCACAACACTGGCAAACGCATCTCTTGTACGTACGTTGAACTTCTTTCGCAGCGTACGCAGCCAACCGTGTTCATCGGAGGTGCCCCGTCATGGATTATTTTACGAAGAAATTGCATGCAGGGAATCACGACGCACGATTAATACGCATTACATTTTTGTTTTACTCGTTTCCGCCATACAAAATCGAGTGAAATATGCTCACGGCGCAATATTAAATAAAGATTTAGCGTCCTGTGTCAATCCACTGCAGGATGAAGGTCTCCCTATGCGGTGTCACTCATGGGGACGGTTTGACCATACTTCACTGCCCTGGCCGGTGGTAGGTTAGCTATGAGGGTTACTTCGTGCTGGTTCAGATATCACTCGCCGCTCACATTAGCCACGGCTGGGAATCGAACACAAGTCGCTCAGGTTTACAGTGCACTGCGCTAAGCACTGTGCCACCGCTCCACCCATAGCCACTGCAGAACAATGCAAAACACTATTACCAAAGGTGTGCAGACATAAGGGACGGCGGGGGGGGGGGGGGGAGTTGCCCCTCAAAACCTTGGGAAATCGAGGGAGGAAGCAATACGCTCTTCTTCCTCAATGAACTGCCCTCAACAACCCCCTTGGGTACCTGCGCCCTCAGCCCAATCTCAAGACCACCCCATTACCCTGCAATATGGACAGCAGAGTTAAGACGTTGCAGCCCATGTTGCACCTCAAGGTGGACTACGTAATCATCAAACTGTCGATTGCAGAGCAGCGTCTTCGGTGGAGCATTTAGGGGTAACAAACTCTCAACCAGGCTTGCCAATTTTCCCGATGTCAATAACTCTCCTGTGCCGGCCATCCGGGATCAATTCCTTCCGCTCTCTGCGTGCTTAGGGCCATCGCTGCCGGGTTCTTGGTCTGCCACCGCCAGTGTTGTCAGCGGTGTTTGTTTTGCCACCCTCGAATGACTTGACCCACTTCCTGACATTGCTTTTTACACATGCAGGCATCTTCACACGCAGCATTCTCTCTGCCGTCTTGTAGCCCATTCCAGCCTTGTGTAGGTCTACAATCTTGTCCCTGACATCCTTGGAGAGCTCTTTGGTCTTGGCCATGGTGGAGAGTTTGGAATCTGATTGATTGCTTGCTTCTGTGGACAGGTGTCTTTTATACAGGTAACAAGCTGAGATTAGGAGCACTCCCTTTAAGAGTGTGCTCATAATCTCAGGTCGTTACCTGTATAAAAGACACCTGGGAGCCAGAAATCTGATTGAGAGGGGGTCAAATACTTATTTCCCTCATTAAAATGCAAATCAATTTATAACATTTTTGACATGCGTTTTTCTGGAATTTTATTGTTGTTATTCTGTCTCTCACTGTTCAAATAAACCTACCATTAAAATTATAGACTGATCATGTCTTTGTCAGTGGGCAAACGTACAAAATCAGCAGGGGATCAAATACTTTTTTCCCTCACTGTAACACCTCTCGCTGGAAATTCGATCGCCGCTTTCTGCTCGAATGATGCGTCCACTTTGGCCAAGTTGTTTACGACTACTCTAGAGTGCCTTGTGCAAGTACAACCCTCATGGCAATCCACTGCTGGATGAAGACCTTCGAGAAAAAGGCGGCGATGAAGATGGGGGCGACAGCTGATGAGCCGCTATAAACAGCGCGGGAGGATGGAGTAGCATCCCGCAGGCGTTACACCGCAAGAGCGGCGGGTGATGGCACCAGGCCGTGAGAAGTGGGGGCGCTGGGTTTCGCGGTTTATTATTGACACAGAACGTAAAAGTGCCAAGTAAGCCAACAAGCTGTATTTGATTAGCACACTCGACTGCTAATGAGCTGCAGAAGGGTTAAACGAGTCCAGTGGTTTACCACTTTAACAAATACTGTTGGTCTGGAAGCCCAATAGACTAAAAAAAAAATGTTTTACGGGAAGATACAGAGCAAGTCATTTATTGACTCAATTATGCAGCTGCAATGTGGAATTAATGCTGCAAACAAGTAAAAGCGATTACAAACAACATCTGAATGTTGGCAGAGAAGCTGCGTGGCAAAATATTTTCAGCTCAAACACACAACCGCACAAAAGGCTGCAAGGACACGATAGCCGCCGCCCCCCCCCCACACACACAAGACACTTACGCAACAGGACACGGTAACTTCAGCAACATTTAGCCCGATGCCAGTGACACGCGTTCAACGGTTAACACACAAGCGACGGCAGTGATAAGGTAGAGGCCGTGTCATCTTGGTGCACTTTGACCAAGGAAGAGGCTTAGAACGTCGTGTGGCTACGTCCGTCGGCTGGACGCGTGAGAAGGTGACAACCGCCGCTGCAACGAGATTCTCCGCAGGAAAAGCAAAGCGTAGAAACGTGCGTGTCATCACCCGGCAAAAACAATTAAACTCGCGCTCAATTAAGCAAGCCGCCTCGCGTGAACCAGGGACCACTTAAAGCCACGATCCCTCCTCGCAAGCACACGTGTGGTGACGTTACCCAAGTGAGAGGTCCGCCGGGGATGAATGCGTCTCTTGTGCCGTGAACTTTCTCCTGCCCCATGGCAGTTCCCGCGACGTGAACATTTTTTAAATATTTATATAGAATAAAAATGCGTTTGCGAGCTCCCCGGCTAAAACAAATTATGAAATATTACATACAAATGTGAAATGTGTTCCCGTCATGCAGCAGCACGGGAAAAACTGCAATGTCAGGGTGTCACAAATGAAGCCCCACTTAAGCGCTATACACTGTGGGTGTTCGTACAATATCCACGTGCACTCTACGTCATGGGGGTTTATTTTATTATATTTCATCATGCCGGTCAGTGAAGGCAGGGAATAGAAACGTATGTATGTTGGATTTCTTTCGTGCCGTACGCAGCCAATTGTGCGAATCGGAGAGACACGGAAGCATGCAAGTACAGCGCTACTCTGAATGGTGCCGCACTACTCCCTCTACTGACCAACACGAATTTCCTGTGGCCCTAAGACAGCCTCTGTTTGTTATGCGTGGTGGTCACCCCCCACGCCCCTTCAAAACCACTTTCCTGGCTCCACCCTCCAGAGCTTCCCATGAATTTCCGTCGACTTGAAGAAGCTCCCAGCACGTGCAGCGACACTGCCAGCATCCCACCGAACCACACGCGCGCGGCACAACCCAACAACGCATCGGCGAGCTACGCAGCACGACCGCAATCACCCACGTGGGTACTGAAATAATACACTCCCAGAAGGCTACGTGACTTGTGGGTGCACCCACACCACTTAGTGTCGGTAGATCTCGTGGATCTAGCAGACTGTGGAGAAATGGATTCGGATCGAATCTGGATTCAGATAACCGTCCTTCATATTACATTTAAACACACAGAGTACTGAATGCTCTGCTGTCTCTGCCAATGAGACACTGCAAGCCGTTCAAGAGGTTTACCTGAGTTGCTCGATTTATGCACTCTTGGAAAGCCGTGTGGCCGAAGGGACGTGTAGCGAAAAAACTACTCATGTCACATGGAGAGACAGATATGTGAAGGAAGCGAATTGTCTTGCTTATTTATTTTGTTAGGCAACAATGAGACCGCTATTATGGTTTAAGCTGATTTTCATCAGACATGTGTGACAGCAGACCTGGAATGGATATCAAGATGGGTGTGAGAACACAGAGGGAACTCTCTTTCTAATGTTTGGATCGCGGCTCAAGCCAAACGTGTCTTTCATCAGCTAATAGCTTTCATTGGCCCTCGATACGAGCACCCGTGGCTCCCCATATTCATAACCATTCCCACACGGATATCAAGTGTCGTACGCTGGCGACCCGTTACGCCGCACGTCCACGGAAATGCATCTTTCGGAGCTGCTACGACCAAAGCCACCAGACGTGCACGGAAGTGCAAACGTCTTTCAATCGATATTTTCGTGTAATGTGCGGAAAAAAAAATATCCCCACCGGTTAATCAGCTGTGCGATACACCGATTGACTTGACTACATTTGGTAGGCAAAGTAATCATAAAATCACCACAGCGTGCTGCCGACGTATCAATGTTCGCGAGGGTTTAGACTATCCGTAGCACGTGACCGAGAGAGATCCCTGTATCTTGCGGCCTCTCATGAAGATTTAACCAGGACGGAGACCAGCGATGGAAATCCACACCTCGTGAGAAACAGCAACACTCATTCATAATGTACGCGCTGCCATTGCGGAACTTGTTAACAGACGGTCCAAAAATAGAGGCGCATTATTGTAAAAGGCAGAAAACTTGGTACTCGTGAACTACCGACTGCCTTGTTCTGTTATTATATCAACGTTTACAACGGTGGGTGAAAAAGCAAATCACTCGGAAGCTTAGCAGTGTTGAGCCTGGATCGTGCTTGGATGGGCGACCACCATGCACTAAACAGGTTGGTAGAGGCTGCTGCGGGGCTACGTGGTGGACGGCAGTGGCAAGTGCAGCAAAATGCATCGTTCTACCGTACTTCTATGCTCCCGCATCTGAGCTTCGAAGCTCCACGCCAGCACGGTCAGCCTGCTAAGGGAACGAGCCAACCGAGCAGTGCCGAGTCCGTCTCACGCACGAACAAACACACACTGTGTGGAGACACCGGGGAAATTTGTACAACTTGACAGATTAATAATTTTGTATTCAGACATGATCGTTTTGTCCGTTACAAGATACGCCAGTGTAAACTGTAATTCTGAACCGATTTCTGTTAAAAACATTTACGAAACTGAAACACTTTCATTTAATTTCCAGCAGCAATTGTGTCACCGTCTAGCAAGGGCGAACATCGCTCCCTCTCGTTACCTCTGCTTTGTTCACCACCCACGCGACGGGCTGGGGTACGAGAGCCTAAAATCCTCGAGATATTCGCAAACTCCAGCTGCTAATGCAGAGGCCGCGACCAACGTCGGGGCCGCGGAGATTCGACAAACGCTGTTGCCATGGCGACACCTCAACGCGTCCGGGGCCACTCACCCACAGCACGAGGGTGTTCATGAGGCGGTCGATGCTGGTTCTTTTTAACTTCGTCCGTCCACTGTTCTGCATCAGCTTGGTGTCGGGGCCTGCGGGAGAGGCAACGCTGGTGAGCGTGCGATCCGTCCTCCTCCGCCGACGACAACAACAACAGGCAACTGGGGCGCATCCGCGTTAGGTCGCCGCACAGATGGCAATGTGTTTTTAACCCTTTCCCGTTTCGAGATGTCTGCAAGTTGCAGGATGTGGTGGTCCCGTTCACCGCTGAATTTCGGAACGCGCGAGCAGTTCGACGTTAATTTTATATGTGAGCGACGTAGCGCGGTTGTTTTTATAACGTTGTACTCACCGCACAGAACCATAGCGACATGACCGCCACACTCTAGGATAGCTGGCGCCAAACTCTGCCACACGTCCTCCCACATGGCCTCTTACTTCCGGGAATAGTTTAAGCTGGCAGAGCCATGAGCGAGGACCTCTCGAGCCGCAGGTCTAGTGGACGTTGGCGCGTCTCTGGGGCGGCCCGTTAGGAGTGGCGGCTCTCACCTGCGAAGACCACGAGGCCGTAGCACCACTCGGTGTTGCGCAAGACGCAGCCGCGCAGCAACATTTTGTCGTTGTCCAGGGAGTACGTGTTGCCCCGCCAGTACAGCGTGCCGGTGAACCTGTCCAGCTTGTTGTTGGGCGGTTCGCAAATCACCTCGCCTGTGCGCGTGCCACACACAAGAGACAGCGGTCGCAGCTCGGGGAGTCCAGCGACAACGCCGTACGAAGTGTGTTCAGCTGCCTTGCATTAGACCACGCACTCGATAGCATGCACAACTGCCGTCAGCGCCAGGACGATGTTACAACCGTATCCCGGCTTCATCCGTGTTCGGCATCATCAGTACAACCAGTCTGCGGTGCACTTTCCAGTGTGATTAATCTCATCGTTTTTTTTGCAGAAAGCGATAGGATAGGAATGCCTTGCAGACGTCGTGAGGAATAAGAGGTTGCAATGGGAGAGGTGTGTCCAGGACGGAGGGGGGGCAGATAACCGAGTTGGGCACTGGAGATGGCACTCAGGGGTCAGTGACCAAGGGAATGCGTAAATCCACACGGCGGGGGTGGGACACTGTACGAGCAGCGGACCTTGTGGGGAGTAAATTATTGATGGACTACAACCCACCCCAGTGCCACTAAAAGGGAGAAAACAATGGCCAAGTATGGGTGGCATTAGCAGCACTGGCCATGGTGATGACCTCTTTTGATGTTGATCACGTAAATAATGTCAATATGTTTATAGCAGGACGTCTTCTGACAATAAACGCCAGAGCAGTTTCCTAGAAGCTTTCCAACTACGAATACCAAACGACAACTTTAAAAACGGCCAACATGTGACGGAATAATATCTACCCAGCGAGCAAATTAATGCTTTCATGACATAGGTCACACATAGACAGGCAGGAGTAACACAAGAGGAGGACGGATATCCACATGGTTGGGATATTTTTTTTAACAGAGTTCATGACAATAGGCCCAAATGCCTAAAACGCCAAGCGGCCATTGAAGGCATAACAGATACAAGTTACAATTTGTTCCTTGAACTGAGAAACGCCTTAAGAGACTTGGGGAGAGAGACGATGGGAGGGAATTTCAGAGTGCAGCTGTGCGGGGGAAGAAGCGGAAAGCGAAGCGTCGCGTGACCTGCAACGCGGTGGCCAAACGCCCAGCGTGGAGACGAGGCAACGCTGTCCGGTCGGGGCAGGAGGCGACCGGGAAAGCGGGAGGGAACTTACCGTCAAAGTGCGCCAGCTTGTCAATGTCGTCGGCAATCTGGGAGGTCACGGGAAGAGCCTGCCGCACCTTCAAGTTCGTCTCACTGCAAGGAACCGATAAAACAAACATCCCCCGTATAGCTTGTAATAGACTGTTGGGGCAAGTGCTGTTAGCGAGCAGCACCAATGTGGGCCGGCACAGCAAACAAGGGGGTGGGGAGTAGCCAACACCACGCCCGGCCGCCTTTGTCTCCCTCGTGACGATGTTTACACATCGCCCCAGGTACTCATTTGAAACCGAGTCGACACACACACACGGAGCTCGTCATCGTCGCTGTTGTCATTGTTACGCTGCTGCCTTCACTTCCCCCTTTGAAAACGTGAATACTGCTACAGCTTTGCACCTCCAATTAGCAAGGTTGACTACGTAGGGCGCGAAAGAAGCTTTAAACCCTTTAATTTTCAAACAAAGACTTCTCGGCACACATCGATATTCATGGTGTACGGCAGAGAGATTATTTGAGAACAGCTATGGCCTTGTCAAGTCATGTCAGTGTCCAACGGTGAGAAATACATTGAAGTGCACACTGCAGGCGTTTCAAAGCATCAAAACTGTTCGCAACTTAATAAAAGTTCAATGTGGGCATCTTTAAAATGGCTCGTACAATGTACAACCTATATTCTTTTGTATATACTTTCTATGCACCGAATGATAGGCCATGTTTCTATATGTATGTGAGCATCTTTCCTCCTGAACTGACGGAGTTCGATGATGAACAGTCGATTCAAAATAACTATAAATATAAATCTTAACACCTCTGACTTTCTCTTGGGCAATAAACCAAACCATTTTTAGGCAGCATATTAACAAGCAAGCCACGCGGGATTTTTACCCGCATTCAGCGGCTTTTGCCAGTTTATAACCCTCGATAAAGATGATATACGACTGCGCATTTCTATAAAGTATGTATGCAAAGCGGCTTTCACCAGCCTGCGTTTCCGAAGGCGGTGCGCGTGCATGCGTGGTCTGCCTCGACAGTGTGGAGCATCGTGCGGCAGAGGACGTGCTTGAGAAGCAGGAGGGCCCCGCTACTGGAGCCCTCAAGAGCAACTTACCCATCAAGCTCTGCCGTCTCGATGTAGCACAGGCTGTGGGGTTCGCTGCTGGACAGCAGCAAGAGGTCGGCCTGCGAGGCACGTCACGCACTCCGGTAAAGCCACGGAGAGCAAATGCCGAATTTGAGACGAGCGCTTTTGAACGAGCGGTAAAAGCTGCTTGGGAGAAACGTCGTCAGCGCGGCGATCCACTCTCATCGCTCGCGGCCACGAGCAATGCAACGGCGTCAACGTGGCTGACTGCATGGAAAGGCATTCCACCTCGGGGATCTACTAGGTTAAACAACCGTTCATTTGTTTACTGAAGAGACAAATACCAAAGTTCCCCAATGCTTTTTTTTAGTTTTACTCTGTCAAGTGATGGGTCCCTGTATCTCCTTTTTCGGTTCTGACCCGGTGGTGTATAATCAATATTTGTCTCTCACACAGCACAACCAATGTCCACCTTCAACATTTAGTGCTTATCAGCTGCTACTGATCTTAATCGGATGATAGTGATGCGCTGGGTCAGCCCGGAACTGAATTTGAACTCATGTCCAGGGCTCTATCAGGTCCTACTATGGACATGATTTTTTTTATTTTATTTAATGTATTAATTACAAATTAAATGTATGGGTCACAAGAGGTCTAAAGACAAGTCCCGTTGGTCCAAAGCCTGAAAAGTGAATTTTTAAAAATCCGACAATACACCTTCACAAATCTGTCCCACATTAATAGAAAAAATATATATATTTTTACACATCCCTCAGCCACCACAGCCTTCTGGGAGTTCACAATTTTTGTAGCATTGGATGAACACAAGTAAACTCTGGACTGGGTTTTGACATTCAGTGTCTCATTGGCAGAGTCAGAAAAGCATTCAGTACTGTATATTTAAACGGGTATACGAAGGACGGTTATCTGAATCCAGATTTGATCCAAATCCATGTCTCACAGTCCACCGGATCTACCAACACGGTGTGTGTGCAGCCCCAGTCACACTGTAAATGGAGGAAGAGGAGGGGGGTGGAGGGATAGTGACAAGGTGGGAGCCACAGGGAATAGCAAGAGAGAGCGCGAGAGGTGCCATGGGAGAAGTGAAAGGGAGAGTGGCGATGGCGACAGCTGCCTGTGCTGTTATGAAGGTGGGATGTACGTGCGTGGTGGTGTATGTACGTGTGTATGTATGTGTGTGTGTATGTGTGTACGTCCCACGCTGTGATGCTGTGAATCGCGCTTCGCACCTCCTTGGCACGGCACGTTGTCAGGCAGCCACTCAGTGTGGTTCTTTCTCCCCAACACTTGAGGCTCTGAAGCCCCCCCATAGTACATTTTTGGGTCTGGGGAATCCCCATCACACCCTAGCAAAACATAACAAATCTGTGACCTGACCGTGAGGATCAGGGATTCGACCCACTTTCTTCCCTTTATTGAAGATAACAGGAGCGGTGCTGTGAGTGACCTTTTTTGATGGCGTTAAATATTATTTTGTGATCGCGAGCGGCCGGCCGAGGAACTTTCCAGGCCCTCACTAACCCGTAAACGCCACTCGGCCCTTGCAATGCCAAACAGTTCTCCTGACCTTCGGCCGAAGGTTGGGGGGTAAGCCTTCTCCTTGGAGATGATTAGTTGCAGCTGATGTGAACAGACTTTGCCTACTCTCCCCTCAGAGAGATGACACACACCTCTGTGAGCCAGCGTTTCTGGGACGGTTCTGCATCTGTAGCCTGTTGCAGCTGCTTTGGCCACCGTTTCGGGCCATAGCCCTGAACCAATCTCCCCACCCACCCCCCAAGCGAGAGGTGTAAGAAACAATCTGGTGGGAAGCAGAGCGGGCGAGTTTGCGAGCGAACATCCACGCGCAGTGCGAGCCTGCCAATGTGCCGGTGGCGCAGGTGCATGCGCGTGTACGTGTGCGCATCTGCGAATGTGTGGGCGTTAGTATAGCGGTTAGCGGGCTGCTCTACGAACCCAGCGACCCGAGTTCGATTCCCGCTGACGGCCAGCACCAGTCGACTCAGCGTCAAATGAGTACCTGGTGCGGTATGTGAATATTTCCGCTGGGGAGACAAAGGTGGCCGGGCGTGGTGCTGGCCACCCAACCCCTCGTGTGCTGTGCCGGCGTTCATAGGTGCTAGTCGCTAACAGCACTTGCCCCAACAGTCTGGGGATCTTTGTGTGCGTGTGTGTGCGCGTGTTCATCAACCGCTGCGCCTAGAACACATGCGCCGGGGTGAGGTGAACAGGGGGATGCCCGGTTGGGCGAGTGACGCATTTCTCACGGCAACAAATTGGTTGTTCTCCATTTTGATGATGTCCCCAACGCGCACGTTCATCCATTTTTCATTCTGCAGTCTTCCGGACCAAAAACGGCAAATGATCAAACACACAACAAAAAACCCTTGGGGCAAATGGAACACGTAGAGAAAATAACACTTGGTGAAGATTTACTTTTTATTTCCCTTTCCACCAACCGCACATGTGTTACGACCCCGTTTACATTTCATAGCCTCGAGAGAAATAAACACGGGACCTGATTTGTTTGTTTGCGGAAGTCTCATTTTGTACCGAGATGTTGGGTGAAAATCAGTTAAATTGATGGAGAGAGCATTCCAGGAAACATAGCAGCCCCACCACTGTGGATGTTTTCCAATCTGCATCATCCTACCGTGAAGCTACACCTGCTGCTACTGGCTACCCAGAATGGAAAATCGTCGTTCATGTGCTGTATACATTCATTATGCGCATATACACTGTGTTTCATATATATTGGATTTATTACAGGGTGGATAGAAATAAACTATTTCCATTTCCCTTCACGAGCATTGTTATCACAACTTGTAAGATAAAAGGGCTACAGGAGACTTCTCTCCTACACACTGCAATGATAACCAACGTCAACAATGAAGGCGCGCTATGATTATCACACCAAGATAATTCCCATATCCTTACACTCTTCGTGACCAAGTGCTCCCACAAAGCACGTGTATGCATGTGTATACACTTCACGTGGCCTCAACGTGTACATAGCCTGGCACAAGCACTGTGGCGACGTCACTGCCACTTAGTGGCGAAGGGCGGTTGTTGTTATTATACATTCAGGGTTGCCCAAACGTTAGTAGTAACGACACATTTATATATTGTGGATGATATTGGTCGCAAAAGCCTCCTACGTGTTAAAGCTGTGAGTATTCGTAGTTTTTTTATTACCCTGTGAGCCAAGAAGCTCTTCAATTGTGTTTCATCAACAAACAACAACACCACGGCCGCTTCTCCAACGTACGCAACAAGTGACAGTGAAATCAATTAATGATTAACTGTAACAGATAAGCGATATAAATAAAAAATAGATCGCAAATCATTATCACAATATAAAAATTTTCCTTTTTTTTAAAGCAATAACAAGTTAAATATAGGTTATTAAATAGCGCACTGTACAACATAGGGTTATTTAATTTATTTTAACAAACGTTCAAACTGACTTTCATTAACATTAATGAAATGCATGATTTCTCCTTTGAATTGAAATGAGGACTTTAAAAGATTACAGCTCTGTGCGTGATCTTTGAACACTCATCAAATGGTGTTACATCTCATGGTTGGTTCTTGGTCGAGTTTTGTAAACAATTGATTGTAGGTGACTTCACAGGAAGAAGATGAAGAAAAATAGAAAATAATAGATCAATTATCAATTAAAGAATTAACAATTAAAATATTTTAATACCAGTGTTTAAGTAAGTGAAATAACCCTGTGTCCTGACTTTTGGGCCGTATATACGTACGTATGTTGAACTTCTTTCGCACCGTACGTAGCCAACCATGCTAATCGGAGTTGCGGGGGAAGAACAACAAACTAAACCCTGTATATGTACATTATATATAAAATGTAGAGGGAAATAGGATTCGCCTCCACCCTCACACCTCGCAAACGGCCACGGCAACGCTTGACCACCTTGCAGGTTCGACAAAAAGGCTGCACACGCACATCAGCAACATTCACCAAGGCCAACAAAAGTGATCGAAGCAAAGGGCAGAGAGTGGTGGTGGTGGTGGACTTACTTTCCGTTGATGTGAACCTGAGACTGTCTGTTGTTGACCTGGTTGTCACTCCTGTGACGGAACTGAAAGCGAAAACGAGGCACAGAACAGCACCGGATCAAGAGAAGTGTAATGACCGCAGTATTTCCGAGTGGTTGGAGACCACTGAAAACGAAGCGTTAAATGACCCTCGTGCTACAAACATGGCAATACATCTCTCACTTGTGGACTTGTGGCCCTCGTATCTGCAAACTCCCATTATCCGGATTGGCCTTGATTATTGTTCACAATTTGTTGGGTTACACGAAACTTACGGAGGGAACTGCGGACCACAAGGTTGCGATTGCCGAAGCCTCCTATGAGGAAATAAGAGGAGAAGTCTGCGGCTTTACATGGCAAGCGATGGCTGGCTTTGATGAAACTGCGTCAACTTCGAATACAAATTTGCCCCCCTTGAAGCGAAAAGTCACTTGGTCGACGAATGTCAAGGGTTTTAACAATAACACCTTTCGTCTTGCGTGTCAAATCACTCATCCACAGCACACACCACTTGTCACCACGTCAAATGTTTTTCCCCTCCCGAGGTGAATGTTAACGATGGAAACACGTGGAAGTCGTGGGAAAGCAGATCTGGTGAATATGGGGTGTGGGGGTGAGATCCAACTATTTTATTTCATAAGTTGCCCCATCTCCCATGAAGACTGGCAACTTGGATGCAGGAAGGTGTTCGCGCAAAATGTGAAAAAAATGTTGGTAAACAAATGGGATGTTGGTCAAACTACCACGCTACTCCCTCATATACTAAAGGCTTCAAGCAGTGGCTGAAATGCAGATTCTACGAGCCTTGGGTGCAACACGTGATTTGAAATGTTCCACTTCATACCACAGGACAAGGGCGAGGATGGTAACTGGTACAAAGGGGCAAAGGTTACGGAGGTTAACCAAGCTGATCTGTTTAATGTACCCTCCACAAAGTTCCCTTATGAATATAAAACATCTGCAATTATATGGTAATTGATTTAACTTAATTATATTGTAAATTACATTTGCAATCTGCGTCATTGCAGCATGGCTTGTCTTAACGAGATGCATTCCGCAAACGGTGGCAGTTGAGACTTCTTAACTTCAATTTGGTCGATGATGCAATCACTCCATCGACTTCATAATCAACATCATCATTGTTGTTAGCATTAAGCAAAACTATATTTGGTAGTTTATTGACGTTTTAATTGCAAGCGCATCGTTACATAACCTAAGTCGTGATGGACAGTAACGGTTACCGTATTTACACCATTGGAAACCTCATTTGCCAGTAACAAAATATGATAATTGTTTTTTTTTACCCTTTTATCTGGCAACAAAACTGACACCTTTTTTTACAAGGAGTCATGTTTACATTGACCACAATACCTGCTGTTGGAACGCAAACAAAAAACAACAACTCTGATAATGTATTGGCACTGTCCAACTCTGATAATGTATTGGCACTGTCCATACATTATCAGAGTTGTTGTTTTTTGTTTGCGTTCCGACCGCAGGTATTGTGGTCAATGTAAACATGACTCCTTGTAAAAAAAGGTGTCAGTTTGGTTACCGTATTCTCCGTTATATAAGGCGCGCCTTTTTTATCCTTTCGTAACTTTAATTAAGCGCCGGGAACAAGTTTGGGTTGCCTCTTACTTTTCAGAGAGCACCTCATAGTCCAGAGAACACGGTACCTCGTATTGTTAGGGAGGGGTCCCGGCTGAGAGAGGGGCGCTCGTGCGAGGAGTCCAAACGGTACTCACCAGAATGGGACATTTTTGCCAGTATCAGAGGATGAAAAAATAAGATGAGGTTTTTACCCTTCCTGGCAATAAAACAGGAAGTGTTAAGATGTTCAAACACCAAATAGAAACCTTTTGCAAGGAATCAAGTTACTGCATTGACCACACACAGCACTTGTGCTGAACATGCAAACAAACATGCTCTAATAATATATTTGCATTGTCTTTGAAGCTGACTGGCCTACACCAGAGACAGCCTTCTTCAGGGCCTAATCTCACCAGTGTCAGACCAGGAAACGCCAAAAGGCAAATAAAGGTTTCTATCTTAACACCTCCTGTGTTAGTGCCAGAAAGGGTAAAACCTATTCTTAGATTTTTTGTTGGTACTCACTAGGTCGTCGGAGGCATCCTTGACAGCGGTGATGGTCAACACCAACACCAAAGGCACGATGGTGGTAAACCAAGACAGGGATGAAATCTGAGGAATCAGCTATCAGAACAGAAGGGGGGGGGCACAAAAACACACACATAAGGGGTAGGAAAGGAACCCAGAATCACTTCGTGTTCATTTCAGCCGAGCCCCAAGCCAACGCCGCCATTGTGGGCTGTGACAGTGCGGATGATATTGTTACCGTTTGCTTCACTTCACTTTTGAGCACTGTTAAATCTTTCTGCATTCCGGAAAGATTTTTCACAGGCAATTTGTAGACGCCAAACACATTAAGGCAATAAAAGCTCAATTAGCCAAACTAACAGCAATTGGCTGTGCAGATTCAAATTAATTGAAAAACCCCAGTGACCAGTTTGGCTGACTGCTTCATTAATAATGCAATGAACAACTTGGCTTGATTGATAATTAAACACGTGTAGGCACAAAGCTCTTGCGGCACCCTGCATGAATGAAGTCCAAAGCTACATTTGCTCTTCAAGAGATTGCAAGCAATGAATGACAAGGGCATTGGTCATTCACAAGGCTTAATTTGTAAGTCCTGGGTGAAACTTTGGGCCGAGCTAGCCTAATATTTCTTGCAGCTCCGGCTAAATATCGCTACGAGAACACGAAAACGAAAATCTGCAAACTTGTTCAGAAAACATTTGGCGCTAAGGTGATGGAGGCGTCCTGAGACGTGCTAACGTGCCGTAAATTCGTGCACCGTCACAATTGGGTGTGACAGTTGAATGATAAATCATGGTACTTTAAAGTCGCGTCAATTTAAATGTGTCGTTAAACCTGCCACCACCCAACACAGCCAATTAGTAAGGTTTGTCACGTAAACAAAACACGCCAATTCGTTGCTTGTACAACACACATTTATATTTACGTGAGCCAACCCAAAAGCCTCTACTATGGATAATATTACTGTGTTATACGTTAAGTCGGTTAATAAACTCGTGGAAATTAATCTGACGAGTTCACAATGAATTTTGGCGATCCCAAAAATTATAACAAAAACCCGCAAGCTAATATGGCTCGAGGTTCACCTCTGTCACTCGTCGTGAAAACACACCGGGCGTAAACACTCCTTGCACAAGGCAATGAACATTCCACTGTTTAATGAGCACATGGAAAATGTTTAAAAATTGAGTCTCAACGCACATTGTTCTCTTTGCCCACTAAAGCTCGGCTCGGCAAGCAAATGTAAGTTTCATACATGTATAATTTAAACCGGCAAGTCCTGGTGGGTTAAGGAAAATAAGAACACTTTCCTGCAAGCCGTTACAAAGAGATAGTACAAAGAAACCACCGGCAGTTGTATTGTCACGCAGGAGGCCGGGTTAAAATTGCACTTATCCCGTGACAAGTGTCCACTGTGGTACGCGCCCCCTTCCTCAACAAAGGAGGTTTTGTTGATTCACAAAAGACAAGGATCCACCATATAGCATTACCAGACTGCGGGGCAAGTGCTGTTAGCGAGCACTTATGAAGGCCGGAACAGCACACGAGGGGGTGGCTGGCCAACATCACGCCTGACTGCCTTTGTCTCCCTAGTGGTAATGCTTTCACACATCGCACAAGGTACTAATTTGAGGCTGAGTCAACCTAGAGGAGGCCCAGGTAGCAATTCAGATAATCGTCACCGGTGTTGGCTGTGAGCGGAAATTGAACCCAGGCCCCGGGTTCATAGTGCAGCACGCTAACCGCTACGCCACCGATTCACACACACATACACGTGTTATGAGGTGACCTCCTCTCTGCCAAATATGAAACCCCCGTCGACTGCAAGCATAGTGAGTGTTGCCTACCGCAAATGATACACGCACGAGTGAAAAATGTTCGTACCAGAAATCCACCAACGGTTTGCAAAACAAATCCACCTGCAGAGTCTGACACATGGATTTGCGTGCCTAAAATCAAAGGTCCGTTGCGGATTCTCGAGGTTCATGGCAGTAAAGTAAACACGCACTGAAGAGCAGCAAGCACGTTTCCACAGCGTTCAAAATCCTTTGCTCTTACATCGCTCAAGGGCTCGATCTTGCTACGTACGTAGTTAAAGGGTTTACACATGTAATCATCGTCAGCCACGTGATATCCACTGCTGGATGAGGGCCTGCAAAATTCGTCACCATCCCTCACGATCACAGAGATGGACAAACGACAACAGCTCGTGTGAAAGTGCTGGATGGATTATTATGTCACGCAACTGAGTATATAGGTGTATGTATGTTTAACTTATTTCGCACCGTAGGTAGCCAACCATGCTAATCGGAGGTGCGGGGGAAGGACAACTCAACACAAAAAGCAGTTCTAAAGATATGGATTTTCAATCCAGATTTAAGTGCATAGCTCCAGTGGCTTACTGTGGTCAAAATGCCTCCAAGCCGCCATCATGAGACATGGTGGCAGCTTTGGGATGCCTTCATCCAGCAGTGGAATAATCACGGCTGATTATGATCATGATGACGATGTAAACGAGGCAGGAGGAGCTATACTATTTACTATTTTTTTCCCAGATAAGGCCCACTAAGCTATAAAGCCCTTTTTCAGAAGTAACCTGGCCACAAATGATAGCTCAACTAAATGGCTTATCATGTGGAAATTTATAGCAGCCAAATACTCTAAACCCATAATTGTAAACGTGGAATGAAAAACCGGATGACCCAGAGAAAAATCCATGCAACCACGGGGAGAGAGACATGCAAACTCCAAATATACACAGCAGGCGTCAGGGTCGGGATCAAACCCATGACCTTCCGTATACCAGGCGGCTATGGCAGGGTTCAGAGCAGGTGGACAGGGTGTGTTGTACACAGGGCACAGATCAGCGTGACCGAGCTGAGAAAGTGCAGGCGATGTTCCTGACAGCATCGGGAAAACTCTGCGTGTGTATCCCTCACCCGCCCCCTCCGCTCCCCACTAACACGCAGCAAAAAAAAAACTTCACACACGCGTGGTTGATCATTATAGGAGCATCTGGTTAATTCCACCACTTGTCAGCGTGCATCACCACAGAAGTGTTTGAAAAGAACCTCACCTGCAAGATGAGCAAGAACAGGAAGTAGGCATTGGCCACTCTTTGGAACTGCTCAAACAGATTGACGGGCAGGAAGGTCACCACATTGTACTTGGAGGTCTTTATCCGGTTGGTCTGGGAGGTGCAATAAAGGGCAGAGGGTAGATGTTAGAAACATAAAAAGACTCGCGCAACAGGAGCAGCTCAGTCGGCGAGTTGGCAGCAGAGCACGCGGACGCCCTGTCACAGTGAGGCAGCTGCTTGAGGAGCGCGCCGAACGGGAATGCCGAGGTACTGCAGAGCACTCGATGTTACTTCACGTGAATAGTTGTTCACACTGGATATCGCAATGATAGCAAAACCCCTCTCACCTGCGACCCCATCCATCTCGACTCCTATATTCCTGTGATCCACATTCATCCACTGGAAATTGAATGACAGGGCAACCGATGGCAATTCCCTTACAAAGTGGTACGAATTTTATCAACCCCCCAAAGGGATGATGGGCCCGAGTCAACGCCCAACTCAGAATTTGAACTCACAACCTTCAAACTGCGAGTCGCTCACTCTATCACCCAGCCACCTGGAAATTAAAATAAAATCCCAGTTCTTGTATCTTCGTCAAGTCCAGGGGTGGGGAACGTCCGGCCCGCGGGCCGTATGAGGCCCGCAAAATCATTTGGTGTGGCCCTGCCAAGGCAATCGCAGGTGGGACTCGAAATTCAATAACTCTAGGAGCAAACCCGGAAAAGCAGTTGCAAGTAGCAACATCGTCAATACCAGCTAACATCATCACACGCCTCGCCAAAGAGAAGCAGTTCCAGCCATACATTAAGGGTGAGTTAATTAAATGTTTGACCAAATATAACAGGCTAATTTTTAAGTTGATAATTTTGTATGGCCCACGAATGATGTTATAAATATCCAAATGGCCCTTGGCAGAAAAAAAGTTCCCCGCCCCTGGTCTAGTCGAACGCTGCATTTGCCAGAATCTACTTTTAACCAACAGATGGCGGCAATCGGCATGGGGAAATGCCACGAGTTATTTTCTAGTGGGGTGCGTCGCCGGTCTTCATGCCCAAACTTCGGCAAACTGCGCTCACTTCAGTTGGCGGTCAACGTTCGGAGTGAGGACTGCGACCCTCCTCAAAAGGAATGCCACCGCCCCTGTGGCCCCCCCGACTCCCCCCCCCGCCCCCCATGATCCATGGATTAAACAAGTCACGGCAGCAAGAGCAGTGTACGCGAACGCTAACGCAAGAGGTCACACGACGTTTGGAGCAACGGCCCTTCGCTGACCAGCCCTGAGGGATGAATGAAATGATGCTGGCACGTTACTGGGTACGGACTCTGAACATGAACCTCCGGTTTCTCCACCGCCGCTCGGACGGCCTGTCGCCCCTGTGCTGCCGATCGGCATGCGGACCGTCGCAGCGCAGGTTCCACGCGGTTCACGCTTAGACGGGGGGGGGGGGGGGGGTCTAAGGTGGCGCGACACCGAATTGTGGGGGCTGCCACCGCCACCACTGCCACCAGCGCCCGCTATCAAACTCGGCCCTCTATCCGTGCCTGCGTGGTGCATCAGGGCAGCTCGCAAGCACGGCGGTCAGAAAAAATCTTGAGAGACGAAAAAGGTCTTTGTCGGAGGCGTCACGTCACGGGCCGTGGTTTGCCGTTATCTGATAATTTGGCAGGGATCCAAACAACGTACAACATTACGCTCGCTCTCTCTCCCTCTGCAGATGGAACGCTAACAGGCACTCTTCTCCAAGCAGACGGCACAGCACTCGATCTTAAATATTGTTCATGACCACAAACTTTAACAGTTTTTTTAGTTAACCCTTTGGAAGCTGCATCAAAACGACTGCTAATATAATAACACTTTAAATTCGATCAATACTCTCCATTAGCATGCCCATCTACTAGCTGCACGAACGAAATTAAATTAAATATGTATGGCAATTGTTAATTTACCAATGTCAAAAATTGTACTGTACTCCTACAGGTACTCATTGTTTAGAAGATATCCATAAAGTGAGTGAAACCAACTTAATGAGTGCTAAGTAACAAGACATGTTACTATTTAAAAAACGTAATTTTAAGAAAAATATATGCAGTGAAAAATCCTATCATTCCAATAAACGCGACACATCCCTGTTATCTACTCACACTTTCACATAACACGTCCTTTCCAACAAGATAAATAGATTTAAATTAAGGTATTAAACGTAATTTTTATTTGATCGTGGGAGCATAAGGCTTCATTTAGGGATTGGGGTAAACTGGGGCCTTTGATCCAATGTGAGGGGTTACATCATTTAGTTAGACAAGGGACACGAGGAAAAGACAGACAGAGACAGGGAGAGAGAGACACAAACAGAGTGAGAGACACGCAGAAAGACAGAGAGAGATGGAGAGACACAGAGAAGCACACAAACGCATGGTACGGTAGGCAAAGCGATGCAGGAAACGGCAGATGTGGATATATAGTGACAGACAGAAATATGTACAGAGAGAGAGAGACAAATATACGAAAATGGATAGCAGACAGAGTTAGAGCCACAGAGAGATTGATATTCACGGACACGCACGAAATAATATGGACAGGGCAAAGAGAAATGTAGAGACACACACGAGAGCCGAGCACAATGAGGCACAAACTGGTACAGTATTCACCCGGTATTCACGGACTGGCTATCCGCGATTCGCATCTGGAACTTTACACAACACCACTGGGAGAGAGACAAAGAAAGGGATGAGATGAAGAGATGGAAGAGAATGTGAACGTGTCCCTCGTCGCGAATAACGAGGGAATGCCGGACACAACGGGAGACGCAGATGCCGAGACGGAACACAGCGACCGAGGCTGAGAGAGAGGAACCAAGACAGGGAGAGAGAACCGCAGAGACCAGACGAAAGAGAAGCGCGAGAGACGATGCAGAAACACGACGAGATATCGTCAGACACCGTGCCTCTGAGTGTCGTGCACAATTATATTGCAACAATGTCAACCAGTTTAAACAACAAAAAAATCATAAAATCATGGATTAATAAAATGTATTTATAATATAATTATGTTTTTGCTAAGTGTCTACTGCTGCTGTTTCCTGTACAGCGCTTCGAGATTATTGATGAAAAGTGATATATACATGGAAATGTTATTATTAATAACAGTTGGCAAAAAACGAATTTTCTACAACAAGAGGGGTGTGGAAATGTCTTTAAATGTATAACGTCAACGACCTGCCACATTGTTAGACAGGTCTACCTTAATAGATGCTTAATTAATCCCAAGCACACGCGTCTGCACGAGGACTAAGAGATGGCAGTAAAGCAAGTGGGATCAGTAACCTGTCTGTGTGGCCTTCCCCAGACACTCGGGTTCCCTCGCACACGCCAGCTCACGTCCACACCGGCTCAATTCTCCCAACAAAAAGTATATGGCGCCCCAAGCTATACTTTGTTAATAAGTTATTGTGCATTGGACCCTGATTAAAGCACAGGAAAGGGGCGCCCGACTTGCATGCATAGATAAGTAGGAACAATGCCAAACGTTGCGGTCGGAAGCGAGTTCGTGTGCGCGCGTGCGTGAGTTAATTTCAAGGAACTTAATGCTAGAGAGAGAAAGGGAACCGGGAACCGTGTCCCATCGGAGGGTGCCGGCGTGCGATCGCCGTTATTTCTCAACGGCAAGCGCCGCTGCCGTAGTTTGGCGAAGCGGGAGAGCTCGCGCACGAGCCACCGCGTGGGCTCCTCCTCCTTCTCCCTTTGACCTCCTTGAAATCTCCGCACGGACACCACGAGTCAACTCTGGGTTGAACGAAAACTCGGCAACCCAGAGGGAGCCCACGTCGAGCTGACACTAAAACACAAACGCGGAGAGGTCCACCTTGAACAATCATATTAATTTAACGCGGTGTTAAACAACAACAAACACTCATTGTGAGTTGCTGTGGATCATAATCAGTAGAAGCAAATGTGAGCAAAAATCCGTTCCGTGCCTCCACATATATGCAGAAATGTGTCCGTCTGTTGAACTTCGTATGGTGCGAAAAAAGTTTAACATTGACACCAACTATCGGCTCTGCAGACCAATACTATCCAGCGGCATTTGATCAAGCAAACTAACTCTGGGCTGGTTTCAACCGTCCCGGGCCTCATCAGCAGTCATGCCTGTTAAAACGAATCCTGCATTATTGGCAAGCTCACAACACGTATGCTCAGATTTGGTAAATTAAAATACATCACCATTACGCGTGTCGCAAATTATCAGGCAACAAATATCGTGAATGCTTGCACGTGATGAGTAATTTCCTGTACTGAATGTGGTCGTCTCAGCTAGATTGGCGCAAATGAGCATCTATTGTACGGCCAGCGTGCACACAACTGCAACTGTTCACTGAGAATTCTTCTTTCCTTACTTTTGCGAAGTCATAAAACATTTTAGAGGGAAATAAAATGACAAGATGCGATTTGACCAAGGTGACACTGTTAATTGCGCAACATAACACGGGTCAAAAGAGCAAAACATTTTTTTAAGGAAGTTGCATATTGTGGAATCATTGGACAAATGTGTAAACAAGGAATTGGTGAATGATAATTCATTATAATTATAATCAGACTTTTCCATATGCTAATAAAATGTGAAAGTGTCACCAAAGGTTATATTGCTTTCATAAGACACTTAGTAAGATGAATCTAAACAAACAGTGCTTGCGATGACTCATTCGGATAACACTCAGCCTTTTTTTTATTCAACTGATGCTCCAGTTTTAGAATAACTTGTGAAGCGCAATGTTCCTTAACAATTTTTGGTTATGCAAACACACTATTTGGCCCCTACAAAAAGGACGCCGCTGCCCAGCCCAAAGAATCACAACCCCGGAGCACCTGGGTCACGCAGGCCAGCGGCGGCAGATAAAATACAAACACGTGCAGTCGGTACGTTTCAACCACTCCGCGAAGCTGTCGTTAACGTATTAAACGTGACACTCATTTAGAGCTGCTCAGTTGTCACATTCACTCGACGAATTGAGAACGTGGACGTCGAGTGACGTGGCAGACATAAGCGCGTAAACACGGGGGTGTTTCAAAGGCGTAATATGTAAGTCGTTCAGATGTTGCATTCGCCTGCA